CCACCTCAGTCAGCCTGCCTCCTTTCCCTACTTGGATGCCCGCACCCACCTCAGTCAGCCTGCCTCCTTCCCCTAGATGGACGCCCACTTTTGAGCTGTGCCCAAGACAGTCCAGCCTCCCTTCCTTTGTCATCTTCTGTACCACGTGCAACTTTGAACATTGCAACCCGATCTCAATTGTTACACAGCGCAGACAAACGTACCCTGAGCATGAGAAAGCAGCATCTATCTGCCCCAAAATCCATGGCTACTTTACCTGCAGCGCACCACTTCGATACCCAGTTGCGACTCTGAACGCATGGACTGCTCAATTGGCCAAACAAACAGGTCAGGGCATTGGGCAGGCTGGCTGCAGGTACAGTTTCATGTGGGAAAATACAGTTTTTAAAAAAAGGCACTGAACGGGTGTGGATGAAAGAGAGATGACTAAGATTCAAATCCATAATCCACAAAATAGGTTACACACAATGACACTATGTGCAGTTTTGATCCCTGGTAAGGGAAGAACATGGAAGCCATTGAGAGATTACAGTGTTGTGTTAACAGGATGATAGCAGGGACAAGGCTTGAGATAACGGACCTTGCAAGCAAAGTACAGCACCAGATCCGTCCCATCTCTTCAAACATAATCTTCATCAGACCTTCCAACACTCTTCCAATGACATGTCCATTTTGAAGGTATCAGAATGAGGAAAAAAACTCATTAAGAAATTTGAAGACCAGAGTTTAGGAGACTAAGAGTGATCCAATCAAAACTTTAAAAGATTTAGCTGAGAAAACGATTTCCTTTAGTGGGCGAATTAAGAACATGGGGGTATGCTCTTAAAGTTAGGGCTAGACCATTTCGGAGTGACGTTAGACATGACGAAAGGAAATCTAGAGTTTTGATCCTAAGGGACTGGATACTCAAGGTCTACTGGAGCTTTCAAGATTGGAATTGTTGGGTTACCACACCTGGGTATCAGGGGGCACCTGGGCAAAAGCTCATAAATGGATCTGAAGAGTTAATAAGCCACGATCGAACAGAATGGTGGAGCAAGCCGTTCGAGTTGAATGGCTTCTGCCTGTTCCTGTTGTTAAGGAACAGTGACTGAAACACAAACTGACCTGATAGAGAGCAATCCGTTCGGTGAGCCGTTCTTCAGATTCCTCCACCAGACCAGCACCGGGAATGCTGCTCTCCACCCCTTCCAGCTGTCTGTACAGGGCCTCGTAATCCCTCGCCAGGTTAGTCCAGGTCTAAAGGGGGAGAGACAGCAGAATACCTCAGACACCATTGCTCCAAAGGCTATAGATCACCGAGAATCTTTAACAAAAAAACTGTCAAAAATCCAGGGGAGGAGTTTATTCTACTGGTTTTCCATGAGGTTTGGGACCTCTCCTTCCTCACCGACTCATTCCCATAAATGAAGCACATGCAAACTGGAATGTGTACTTTGTTAGTCTAACATTCATTAACCACAGCAAGGCATAGAAATCAAAACAGATTACCCTTACTCTATACAGTCAGGACTGGGATGGAATACTCCCCGCTTGTCTGGATGAATGCAGCCCCAACAACACTCAAGTAGCTTGACACCATTTAGGACAAAGCAAGCCACTTGACTGGCATCACATCCACAAGCATCCACTCCCTCCAACATTAACACTGAGTAGCAGCAGTGTGTGCCATTTACAAGTTGCACTGCGGGTGGTCATCAATGCACATTAGACAGCACATTCCAAACCCATGACCACTACCATCCAAATGGATAACAATGGGAACACCACCACCTTCAAGTTCTCCTCCAAGTCACTCACCATCCTGACTTGGAAATAGTCAGTTTCGATAGGTCAGAATCCTGGAATTCCCTCCCTAAGGGCATTGTGGGACTACCGCAGCACATAGACAGCAGCGGTTCAAGAAGGCAGCTCACCACCACCTTCTCAAGGGCAACTAGGGACGGGCAATAAATGCTGGCCCAGCCAAAGACACCCAGGGCCAACGAGTAAATTTTAACATATACCTTCTACAGAAATGTATCAGATGTCACCCTGAGTTTCTCTTCTCGTATGCAGATTGAGTATGTACCCAAAGTGTGACACAGGCTCTCGACTAACAGAGAATTTACTAATTAAATCAGGTGCTGGAATAAAATAAGAGAGAATTCTGTATTCACAGCACCAGTTAGTATTCTTTCTGAGGTGTAATGAAGACGAAGGGCACCTGGGTAGCAACAAAGCAGTTCTCCCACCCCACGACTCCCTATATGGGGCTTTCCACATGCTATCAAAAGGGCAATGAAACAGGAAACTCAAGCAAACCTCACCATGAACAGGCAATGCAGACATTCACTTCAATATTCTCCTTAATGCATAATAAAAAGACATCACTTGCTCTCTTTTTCCACATGGACCTTAAAACCAAAGGCCATTTCTTACACTGTGCAGCACTTCTGTAATCAGTCCAACTTATCTACTGGCCAACACACACTTTCTAATGGTCGAACAGCGAGCATTGACAAACTCCACGTTCCTTTTAAGTTGAGGGATTTTAAAAAAATAACAAAAGGGTGCATTTCTCTATCAAAAATGCGGGCAGTTCCTGATTGTAACATACAATACTTAAGCACATAATATGAATTTTGGAGACCTTTTAATCTAATTGAGTAAATTATTTTACTGTGGGGAAAGAAATGGAGGCTAGAGAGAACTCAAGGAAATAAATATTGATGTTTTGAAAACAGTCACGTTACAGAAGAGGAAGCGCAGGAGGTCTTAGAAAACAAACATGGATAAATCTCCAGGACCTGATCAAGTGTATCCCAGAACGTTGTGGGAAGTTGGGGAAGAAATTACAAGGCCCACAGAAGAAATATTTGTGTCATCTTTAACTACGGGTGAGGTGCCAGAGGACTAGAGGGTGGCTAATGTTGTGCCTTTATTTAAGAAAGGCTGTTAGGAGAAACCTGGGAACTATAGACCTGTGGGCCTGACATCGGTAGTGGTTAAGTTGTTGGAAATGATTCCGAAAGATAGGATTTACATTGAGAGGCAAGGACCGATTAGGGTAGTCAGCACGGCTTCATGTCTCACAAACTTGATTTGAGTTTTTTCAGGAAGTAACCATAAGGATAGTTGAGGGCAGAGCAGTATATGTTGTTTACTTGGACTTTAGTAAAGCCTTTGATAAGGTTCTGCATGGTAGACTAATTAGTAAAATTAGGTCACATGGGATTCAGGTGAGTTTGCCAATTGGATACAAAATTGGCTTAATGGCAGGAGACAGTGTGGTGGCTGACGGTTGTTTTTCAGACTGGAGGCCCATGACAAGCAGTGTTCTGCAGGGATCAGTGCTGTTTATTTATTTGTCATTTATATGAAATGATTTAGGTAAGAATATAAGAGGCATGGTTAGTAGGTTTACGGATGACACCAAAATTGGTGGTATAGTGACCAGTGAAGAAGTTTATCTAATATTACACAGCGATCTTGATCGATTGGGTCAATGAGCTGAGGGGTGGCAGGAGGGAGTTTAACTTGGATAAATGTTAGGTATTGCATTTTGTTAAAACAAACGAGGGCAGAACTTATACAATTAACGGTAGAGCCCTGGGCAGTGTTGTGGGATAGAGAGACATGCGGTTCAGATACACAATTCTTTGAAGTTTGTGCCACAAGTAGACAGGGTGATTAAGAAGGCATTTCGCACACTTGCCTTCATTGCTCAGACCTTCAAGTACAGGAGTTGGGATGTCATATTGAGGTTGCACAGGATATTGGTGAGGCGTCTTCTGATGAAGTGCAGTTCTGGTTCCCCTATTACAGGAAGGATATTATTAAACTGGTTTAGAAATCACACAACACTAGGCTATAGTCCAACAGGTTTATTTGAAATCACAAGCTTTTTGAGCACTGCCCCTTCACCTTTACAAAGGGGCTGCACTCTAAAAGCTCGTGATTTCAAATAAACCTGTTGGACTATAGCCTGCTGTTGTGTGATTTCTAATGTTATCCAGCCCAGTCCAAACACCGGCACCTCCACCTCACTATTAAACTGTAGAGGGTTCAGAAAAAATTTACTTGTTATGTTGCCAGGAAGGTTTGAGTTATAAAAATAGGCTAAAAAGGCTGGCACTTTCTTCACTGGAACATAGAAGGTTGAAAAGTAACCTTTGCAGAAGTTGATAAAATCATGAGGGACATAGATAAGGTGAATGTCAGGTGTTTTTTTCCCTAAGGTGAGAGAGTTTAAAACTAAGGGGCATATTTTTAAAGTGAGAGGAGGAAGTTTTACAAAGGACATGAGGGATGACTTTTTTTTTTTTACACAGAGTGACAAGAGTGTGGAACGAACTGCCAGAGGAACTGGTGCATGTGGGTACAGTTCCAACATTTAAAAGACATTTGGGTAAGGACATGAATGGGAAAGGTTTGGAGGGATATGGGCCAAATGCAGGCAGATAGCACTAGTTTAGTTTGGGAACATAGTCAGCATGGACTAGTTGGACCGAAGGGTCTGTTTCCACGCTATATGACTCTATAACTCAATATATCCCAAACATTTACACTTAGCTCACCAAAGACAGTGACCCTGTTCTCACAGCTCACATTTGGTCTTTTGCGATATTTCCTGTGTGATCCTGCTTTATTCAATGTTGATATTATGTTAATTGTATTGTTAGAGTTAAGGATAAACTGGTGGGAGGACATGAAGTAAGCACATAAGCTGGGACACTGAGATAATGATTAGTAGGAGGCAGCTACGTGCAAAGCCGCATTTTGTGAATAGATCTATTATCGAGGAAAAGTACTATATTTGCTTCCCAATCGATCCTGTGCCATTTCTAAATTCAGTACAGAGGAAATCCAGGAAGAACCTGACAGTGCAGAAGTTATGCCAAACAACACCGTGATACAATATATGTAACAATTGAGTTGGAAAAAGTTCCAAATAGTCAGGACTGACAGCAGGAAGGTTTATCAAATCAGATCCCAGGCTAGAATATCTTCTCTGTAATTCTGGTAAGATTTCAATAGAAATACAAATATTCACTTACCCCGGAATAATCAGACAAATCAGCTTTGGGTCATTTTTCTGTCATGTTAGGAATTACTTTCCCGATAATGTTTTAGTTTATTGTATGATCGTCATTAACTGAGATGACTTCACTTGCGATTTCTCCTGATTCTGAAAATTATCTTGGAGACCAATATTTGGGACGGTAGAGTATTCCTGCAGTAACCTTTAGAGGAGTTGCACAGCAAATCACAGCAAGCTGCCGTCACTTCGGAATCCACATCAAACAGCTTACCTCAAAAATGCTTTCTAATTCCACACCTCTCCTGTGAGCCTCCTGCAGTAAAGCTGAGGACTTGCTCATCAGTTCCTGCTGGGAGCTGCTTTCTTTCTTCTGGATACAGGAACTTACTTTTTTACAAAGCGTTTCCGTGAGGATTTTGTGAGATTCCAGGCCTTGGAAAAATTCCTGTAACAAAGTGCAGGGACACGATCAACTTTGAAAACAATCCATTGATTAATCACGGGGGAGGGTTCCGGGGGAGACTTCCCTGCAGCCAGAGAACTTTACAACCAGCAAGAATCGAGCACTTTTTCCACACCACAGAGAAGGAATAGACAGGAAGTGTGTTCAACAAGGCAGGGTGACTAGAGGAGGAAGAGAACGAATGAAGCAGAGAGGTTTTCCTTTCCTCATTCTTCTCTTTTGTTAATTTTTTTTTAAAGTTTTTGATTTAAACTTACCTTGTGGACAGAACATCAGCGAGTGTTGCAGCTGAGGACCCACAGTGGAGCGGGACGGTCAGTGTGTTGGGGGACCAGAGTGGGACGGTCAGCGTGTTGGGGGCCCAGAGAGGGACTGTCAGCGTGTCGGGGGCCCAGAGAGGGACGGTCAGCGTGTCGGGGGCCCAGAGAGGGACAGTC